CACCTCCCTTTGTTAGCGAGGTCCAGGGGGCCCCTTCGCTCCCGGGACTCCCTCCAGCCCCGCCCCGCGTCCCCGGAGCAGCCCCCCTGTGCCCTAGGAAGGGGGCAGAGGCGGAGGGAGAGCCCGCTTTGTGTAAGGCGCGGGCCAGGCGGGCCCTGCCACCCACCGGGGCTGCAGCTCGAGGCCCGCGTGCGGCTCACCCGCCCCCTCCGACGTCGACCGACCTGGGACGTCCACGCCCATCGATCATTCCGCAGATGGCCATCATTCAGGTCCCAGCCGCTCTCCGGCTGTACTCCGAAACCCCCTGCTTCAGAATCGAGGGTGAGGGAAGACCCCTCTCAACACCCACAATCCAGACCCACCAGATCAGGTTTTCCGGGGGTGGGATCTGAAACTGGCGTTTTTACTAAGTACCAGAGGGATTAAGATGCTGCGCTGGACAGACTCCCGGATATATTCGTCGGTTTCCAGTGCCCAGCGCAGGACTCGCTTATTTCAGTGGCCCTTCTGCTTCTGCACTTGCCCATTTCCTTCCGTCTGTTCTCCGACATCACCCAGACTGACCCTGTGAAAGCGCAAGTCAGATTCCATCACGTCTCTGCTCAAAACCCTTGGGTGTCTCTACATTTCATCCAGAGTTAAACTCAAGTCTCTTTACAGTGGCTCTGGGGATAGCCTTTACCTGACGTCTCTGTTCCTTCTCTCCTGTGTTTACTCAGCTCTAGCCACTCTGACCTCTGATGTTTCAGGAACACACCAGACAGCCTCCTGCCACAGGGCCTTTGCACTGTTTTCTCTGCTTGCAACACTGTTATCCACCTAGTTTCCTCCATCACTTCCTTTCACTCATTCAACAAATTATCATTCAGTGCCTACTATGTGCCAGTGCCTGTCCTAGGCACTGGGAGCACAACTTCACACAAAACACACACATTCCTGCCCTCCAGGGGCTGTCATTCTTCAGGTCTCTGCTCCAATATCACCTTCCCAGTGAAGGTTCATTCTCTGGCCACAATATCTGAAATTGCGCCTTCGCACCCACAAGTGCTCTTCACTCTCCTGCCCTGCTTTCTTCTTCTCCTTGTCACTCATGTTCACGTAGTAACATTGTACTTACTTCTCCTGCTGCCTCCTTCCCTAGCGAACAGGCATTCATCAGACGCTGGTTGATTAATGAATGGATCATTAATGAATTTCTAGCCATCGCCTTCCCTGAATAACCCAGCATAGGATTTGACGCAATAAATGCACAAATACATCACAGCTTAGTAGATAAGAACAGAGGAATCTGGAGTTGCATACCCAGGTTGAAATCCCTGGTCTACCCACTTGTGTGATCCCGGGTGAGTTATGTAACTTCTCTCTGCCTCGGTTTCCTCATCTCTAAAATGGGGACAATGATAGGATTGCAAGCGTTAAGTGAGAAAAACAAAACAGAGTCAAGAACCTAACAGTCAGAATATTTTGTTTTATTGTGGTAGATTGTATTATTATTGCTACAACTACTAGCTCCCTTCCTTATGAGAGGGGTTGGAGGGCAGGTTGGAAAGAATGAATTAGTCAGTTTGTACACAGGCACAAAAGGGGCCTTTATAACCTCACATGTGCAGTAAACATTGCCGATTCACCCCCTTTCTGCCCTTCTGTCTTCTCTGTGTGCTGTAGAGGGGCCCTGCTGCCTCACGTTGCCCATGCTTGCCCACCCTGCCCCACTGTATCACAGTTCTGATGGAGCTCTAGTTAGAATTTAAACCAAGAACCTTGGTTTAAACTATATCATCTTTCATTTTAACCAAAAACCTGTGAGGCAATATATTCTCTTAATGGCATAGTCTGCAGCTGTAAAAAAAAAAAAATAATAATGACAATAATTCTGGCAATTGGGTAGCAAGATCGGATGCTAAGTGAAACAATAAGCTACGAAACAGGATCTGTGTACTGAGAGATGGGGTGAGAACTACAGAGAAAGGAGCACAGTTATGTAGGCACCCTGGGGCCAAAGCTGACATTTTCTTTCTTCTCAAAACCGTCTAACGTAGGATTGTTGGTTTTATAATTTTTAACACGGGGGAAAAAATTGATGCACTGTCCCTCTAGTAATGATTCTTCAGAGTGACGGGTTTTCTCTGTCCCAGGCTCCCGGTGTGGAGAGCTTAGGGGCTGGGTCCTGCAGGGGAAGGGGTTGAAGTAGGAATTTACATAATCCGATTATTGGGGGATTAGGTTTGGGCAGCTAAATGCCTCAGTGTGCTTGAGCTAAAGCCCTTACTATTCATGGCTCTCACTGCCCCCTGGAGAGACTGCACCTGCAGGCTCCTGGGGAGGGAAGAGCAGACCGCTAGGAGGGCTTGGGCATTGTCAGGATCTGGTTTTACTGGCTTAATTGATCTGTCTGGATTAGCCTGTGAATACTGGACCTCTAGTCCTGTGTGCAGGGCTTGCCAGCTTCAGGGAAGACCAAACCTGAGGTTTTCAGAGGGGATTTCTGTCAGCCCAGAAGGTTGTGGGCCAAGGTCACTTGGCTGGAGGTCATCTGGTCTTCAAACTCCCTTCCTCCCGACATCCTTAGCCCCTTCACAGTTTCCAATTCTGCATTTCCAGGCCCCAGTGTTTCTCTTCATTCATCCATCCGTCAGCCCATCCCTTCTAGCCACCGGTCGTGTCTGCCTCCATCAATTTATTCATCACATGGACTGGCTGGCTTTTGGTAGTTAATAGAATTTACTAGTAAATCCTTCTAGGTAGGTTTTGTTCCTACAAGTGTTCTATCTATTAAGTCAATTTTGCTACGCTGACATATAAACTTTGACATTTTCAGAATCATTAGTCAAGGGTTACAGTTATTCAATGATTTAAATAAAGCCCCAGTGTTTGTGTTAACGACTTTTTTCTGTTTTGTGTTCATGACTCTGTCTCTCCTCTTGATTAGCTGTGCAGAAGCTTGTAAGTTTGATTGCTCTTTTAAGAATGACCTCTGTGATTCATTGTTTCTATGATTTTTCTAATGCATTGATTTCTACTATATCTTTATTAAATCTGCTCTTTCTCATTTGCGTATGTTTATTTTGTTCTCTCTCCAGCCCTCATTCTTAGATTCAGTGTTTATTTTACTACTTTCCATTCTCTCTTGTCTTTAGTAAGAAAAGCATTTCAGGCTATGACTTCTCTCCTGATGCTCCTTCGATGTCATTTTGTGTTTCCATTTGCAGTATCTTTGTCACTCGCTTCTAACGCCTGTTGTTTACTTTAAATTTTCTTTTAGAAAGTATTTTTAAAAATAATTTCCTTACTGTTGTACTTTTTGGTAACCATTTGCTATTAATTTCTAATTGTACTGCACTGTAGTCAAAGATATGCCCCATATGTTTTTTGCTCTAGGATATTTATTGAGCTTTTTTCTTTGGTAAAACATATAATTAACTTTCATTAATGTTCCATAGGTAATAGAAAAGGGGTAATAAAATGTGTTTTATACATGCCCATTAAATCGATCCTCTACATTCTTGGGAGTTTTGGTCTATTTGATCTGTTAGTATTGTGTGGAAATATCTCTGTACTATTTCATGTCTGTTCCTGCCTTACTGGTTTTTCCAGGAGTGTTTGTTTAGATCATTATACCTCTGGATGCACTGCACTTGATGCAAAGAGTCATAGGAGTTTCACTAACTTAGAGAATTTTACTCCATATCAATATAAAATTAGCTCTCTTGCCCAGGCTGGGAGTGGCTCAGTGGTTGAGGGTCGACCTAGGATCCTAGGAGATTGAGGTTCGATTCCCAGTCAGGGCACATGCCCGGGTTGCAGGCTCGGTCCCCAGCAGGGGGCCTGCAGGAGGCAGCTGATCAATGCCGACTGTCTCATCATTGATGTTTCTCTCCCTTTCTCTTCCTCTCCCTTCCTCTCTGTGAAATCAATAAAGATATATTTTTAAAAAATAAATAAACTAAAATTAGCTCTCTTTGTCTTGCTTTTTGTCATGAATTCCATTTTGTTTTCTATTACTTCGAATATGCATTTTCCAAATGAAACTGTGCCCATTTTTTTATAGTCAATTCATAGGCGACTCTTGGTCATAGGTTTTACCTTTCTGTGACACTTTGGTAAATTTAAATTTCTTTGATTGTTTTTTTTAAAGGAGCCCCATCTCCATGTTGAATTCTCCAGAACAAATCCATTGTAGTTTTCTTGCTTGGCTTGCCTACCACACTGTAAATGTCAGGAGGACAAGGCCTTAGCTTCGTTAATCACTAGATCCCATGAACTGTGCTCACTGCACATAAAAGATGAGACATTTGCTGAATGAATGCAAGACGGTGCTGCCTCATTTCTCCGAAGAGCTGTCTCTGGCCTGTCCTGCCTCCTGTCAGAGAAGTGAATGCTTCCAAGGCCATGGGAAGGGGTTTTAGGCAATTGTGTTTTTTTAAGGAGAAGAGAAGAGAAGAGCATTCTGGCTGCTGTATGGCGGAGGGACAAGAAAGGATGTGGGGAGACCAGGTAAGAGGCTATGATGGGGATAGAGATGAGGGGGATGATGGCTGGACCTAGGGGGTGGCATTATTTAGTTCATTATTTAGCACTAATTACTAGGTGTCATGCTAGGCGTTCCACTCAGTTTTCTTGTTTCATATGAGAAATTATATGTTTTGATTATAAAGTTATATAACAAGGTATCATCCTTGACACAACAAAATACCACTCCCAAACAAGTTAAATACTAAAGTGCACCCTAAAGAAACCAGCCTTCACGTGCAGCTGACACTGTTTTACCAGTGGTTCTTAGACAAACATCCTTCCAGAGCCGGCTAAGGCCGTAAATTTTCACAGATGTTCATGTCACTCTGTTCACAGGGCCCACAGAGCAACTTGGTGATGAGCCTACCTATTTGAGACTCTTCCTGCCTCCCCCACTCTAACTTCTCCCTAATAAAAATAATAATAAAGCAAGTAGCTGCAGATGAAAGCAGGTAATGTGGGAAACCAGGCCACCTGGAAGGGAGAAATACACCGACACAGGGCACATCTCCACCTGAGCATGGAGCAGAGTACTGGAGGGGTGAGAGCTTGGTCTGCTCGCCTAAGGAAAGAGAGATTTGGCCGTTTCATCATCACTTCTGCACTTCCCCGAGGTCATTCCCTAGTCATGACAGGAAAAAAAAAAAAAGGTGGTAGAATCCATAGAGCACAGTCTCTGATGTACACTGGTGTTGCGGCCCTGGCCACACATAGAGAGGAACAACAGAGGAACAAATGATACTGAGGAGGAAACAGACCTGCTTCCCACTGTGTCCTCCCTCCCCTAGCTGCATACAGTGACTTTCCTTGACAAAGAAACAATATTGCTCTGTAGATCAAGTTATCCTTACTTGGGAGACGCCACAGCTTGATGCTTATCTGTTACCAGACGTCTTCTCTTTAAGAAACAGTGACCATTGCATCTCAGGGATGGTCCTCAACTGGATCCAGACGGAAGGGCCCCTGTTTGAATAAAGAAGGGGGTGAGGGAGAGCGATCCATCCACAGTCTGAAATCAGAATTGCAAAAGGTTTTCTGTGCAGTTTGATGTTAACTGCTCTGCGGACGCCCTTTCTTCCATTCCCCGTCTCCTCTGCTGTCTAACCCTGTGCCTTGCCTGGAGAAGCACAACGAGGATACTGGTTTGGAGTGTACACAGGAGAATTTATGAATGGTTTAGAGGTTCACTGCTGCTTGGTCTCTTCCTCAATCAAATCAGTCACTTATTTAAAAAGGCTGATAGAATTTTTATTTTCTTAAATTTTTATTTATTGATTTTAGAGGGGGAGAGGGAGAGAAGAGAGAGAAACTTCTATTTGTTGTTCCACTTATTTATACATTCATTGGGTGATTCTAGTTTGTGCCCTAACTGGGGATTGAACCCGAAACCTCAGCATATGGGGACGACACTCTAACCAACTGAGCTACCCAGCCAGGGCTAAGCTGATAGAATTTTTAAAAATTTACCCTTCTGAGCCTGTTTCTCATAAAACGGGAGTAATAAATACTCATTGATTTGCTGTGCATTAAATGGAATAAGATACTGAGAAATACTGAGAGGTGGTTTAGTGTAGTAGCTAAGAGAAGGCCTCTGACTGGCTGTGGAGGTAGACTGACTAGGGTTTGAATCTCTGCTCTAACACCAGCTGTCATCCTGCGCAAGTTGCTTCTCCCAGTCTCAGTTTTCTCAGCTGTAAATTGGAAATAATATCAACTTCATGTGTTAATGTGAAGATTCAATGAGTTAATTATGTAAAGTTAGTGATCTGGAGTAAACGCTTAAAAATGGTGCTAACAGGCATCTAATAAAATCACAGTTAATCAACAGTTTTACTTTTATTACCAGAAAAACTCTATCCAGAAGCTAGATGGGGAATCTGAACACATGCCTCTAATTAGCTCCAAAGGGCACTTTCATTTTTTATCTTTCATTTTCCCAGCCCAGCATCTTGGCTCCCACCTCCCTCCTTCCAGTTGCTTTGGGCCCTATTTCCTCCCATTATTTGAACCAAACAGAGCCCTGGGCTGGGTGAGGGAGACGTCAAAGAAGGGAAAGAAAAGCTTCTCTTGAGCAACTTGTCTCTCTCTTACAATTAATTTCTACTCTCCAGCCCCCCAGACCCAGGACCCCTTGGTAACACCCACACACCCACACGCACACACATCTCCCCGCAAAGACACCTGGCACTGAGGCCAGGCAAGTATTTCTGTCCAGAGCAAATGTTGACTATTGCAGCAGGAAGCAGGGGCATGTAACTGCTTCAAGTGAGTGAGTTTTTCTTCCCATAGTTACCAGTCAGAGGGACATACAGCCCTGGGTGTGCCCAGCTGCAGATGCTCTGAGGACAAGAATGGCTTGGCCTTGGCTCTGTAGGTCTGGAGCTGTGAATGCTTCTATTTCCAGCCAATAAACCCAAGGGCAGTTAGAAAGCGGGGGAGGGGGGCAGACCCAGGTACTAGAGAAAAGAAACGAGGGGTGGGGTGCAACTCCCCTTTTCCTCTTTATTCTCTGGTCTTTGTACAGGAAGATGATTCATCACTGGGTCCCCCAGATCAGGATTTAGATGCTCTGTGCGCAGCAGATAAGAGTGCAGCCTCCTTGCAGAAAGTAAATTCATTGACTACTCCCCATAAAGTCAGGCTTATCAGCTGTCCTCATTCCCACTCAGCCCCCTAGGGACCAGGCTTGAAATAAAGGCCACAGCCCCAGGGTCTGGAGAGTGGAGGTACAGGGC